AAAAAAAAAAAAAAAAAAGCCCAACAAAACCCACTTTTCTTCCTTCTTAACCTACTGCCCAGAACCAGCCCCCCCCCAAAGGCCATTCCTCCATCACCTTTTGCTTTGGTTTGAGAAGCCAAGACAGCCCAAAAACCCAAAAGCCCACCCACCTTATCACCTAAAACAGTCCCTCGCTAAACCATCCAAAAACCAAGCCAAAACATACTCCAAAAACCTTCCAACTCACTGCCCAAGAACCAACCCCAACATAACCTATCTTTGTTCACCTTAGGCCCCCAAAAACCAACCCCAATTCGGCCAAGCTATACCCCAAAATACCCTGCACTTCTTCTTCCTTAAAACCATGTCAAACCACTCCCAAAACATGTCCCATGGAGATTTAGTTGCTGAACAGAATAAACTCAAGAAGGAGCTTGATGCTTTGATGAAAAAGATTGGAGAGTTCACAAATTCAGTGGACATTCCGACCTTTGAAGGAAGAAACGATCCGGAGAAATTCCTACAGTGGCTCAAGAAGGTTGAACATATCCTAATCCTCAAGGATATGCCCGAAGGCAAAATGGTCAAGCTTGTAGCATCCCGGTTCCAACGAAACGCTGCCACTTGGTGGACACATATTTCCACTACGAGAAAGTTTGAAGGAAAGCCCAAAGTACAAACTTGGGAGAAGATGAGGAAGCTTTTGATCAAGAGATTTTTTTCGAGAGATTACCATCACATGGTTCCCCCAAACCCCTTTAAAACTCATACCCCAACCATGCCTTTGTCTCCACAAAAACTACCCCATGAAGCCACTCCAAAAACACCAAGAGCAAGCACCCTACACACGGCCACAACCATCCCCATTCCATCACCCACACCTACATTTCAAACACCATCTAAACACATCTCTGTTCCTTCCTTAGCTACTGCCCAAAATATTCCCCAAACCTCTCCCACACCTACGGCCCAAACACCACTTAACACCATGCCATTACCTTCCACAACTACTGCCCAAATTGTCCCCAATATCACCTCAACACTCATGCCCCAATACTCCTCAATAACCACCTCTTTTTTGTCTCTAACCCCTGCCCGAAAGAACCCCAAAACCCTCTCAATACCCCTGCCTCCAAACCCTTCCAAAACCATGCCCCTCATCCCTCCACAAACTGCCCATCACACCCCCAACTCCGGTCCAACGTCCCCACCCCAATCCGTTCCCAAAGTCATATCTTTAAGCCTACCACAAACCCCCAAAAGTACCCTTGAAGAGTCATCTTTCTTCATGGTTCAAACCCCCACCTTTGCTCCCCATTTTCCTAAGTCTGAACTACCTTCTTCTCAAGCTACCGAAACCATGCAGCCCACTACCCCAAAGATCATCTGGGACGAATATGATGACGAGGACTATGATCCCATTTGGGATGAAGAACTTGTCAAAGAGAATGAAGAAGTGTTTGAAGACGCAGAGGATAACCCGTTTTGGGTTACAGAGATAAAAGAAGAAGAGCAAGAGAAGACGCACGAAGAAGTTGTCACTCCTGACGCGGAAACCTCCGCTCGAGGCCTATCTTCGTTAACGGTACTTCGTACCAAACGTGTTGAGTTTTTGCAGGCCCCATATGAAAAGAAGATTGAGAAGAGTCATGACTCGAAATGGTCCATTCAGCCCGGCGACCTAGTATGGGTTCACATTCATAAGGCGCGTTTATTCCATAAACGCAAGTCAAAGCTACAACCCCAAGACGATGGTCCATTTGAAGTGTTGGCAAAGGTTCACAAAAAATCCTACGTGGTCGATCTTACACGCGGCCTAAAAGTTGCTGCCACGTTTCATCGAAGAGATCTTAGCCCGTACGAGGATTTTGAAGATCTTCCGAGTTTGAGGACAAACTCTTTTGAAGACCGGGAGGATGTTATATCCGGGCCTGGCCCTATGATACCCTCCCCCATGTCCCACACCCTCGCAAAAACCAAAGGACTTACGTTCAAACATTATGATCCGTTTTAGTGAGAATTCCGAGTCCTTCAACCCAAGAGGCCAGAATAACTTCGGACCCAAGGGTCCACAGGCCGACTCCCACTCTGTCCAACCCAACCCATAATATCCAAAACTCCTTGCCATTTACTTCATTTCAAAATAAAGTTTTTATTACTTTTATTTTAGCCCCTGGCCAAAAATAAGAGTGTGCAAATCAAAAACCTTTTGTTGTTATTTTCTTCTTTTAAGCCTTTTAATAAACAAGTAGAACCTTCCCTTCCTTCCTTTTATTTCCTGGCCAATGAAAACTCACAACCCAACATAAACACCCACAAAGAGCCAAAACCCTACCCCACCACTAGCCACTCATTCCTGCCCATGTTTTCCTCACAATAACCCAAACCCATATGTCCAAAACCACCCCTAATATTACCCAGCCTTGTCCCCTTTTATTGGCCAAACACAACCCCTCATTTTTACCCAAATAATAGCCTTAAAACCCAGGAAACAACCACTACAAACCAAAGCTCAAAACCCCCCACAAACCCCAGCCCCATCCCTGATTTTAGTCCACCCAGGAGACAGGAATGAAGAAAGATTACCCCATGCTTTGGAGAAGGATGTTGCTAGGAAGTTTCCTAATGTCTACATTCAATGTATTGTGTGTTTCTTCCCCCTTTCCCCTGCCTATATAACTCAGGCCTATGGCTATTGTAAGACAACTTTGAACATTGAAAATCCTTTACTCTTTGAGTATTCATAAAATAGTGTGATGCTATTTTAGCCAAATTCCTAATTCTATATCTTAAGGGTGGTTATCTTAAGTGTGAGTTTTAGGTTCTAGATATTTGATTAAGTGTGTCATATCTTAATTAAATTCTAGATTCAAACCCCAAGTTAGGATAAGAGTGGGCCCGTAGGTCCTGGCACAAGGTTAGAATTCTAGCCCTTCCAGAGTGGTATCTCACTGATGGCTCGAGCCCCCCCGGAAGGAGGCTTTCTTCGCCTTCCACCTAAGCTGTGCAGGAAAGGCCCAAAGCTAATCCCAGGGAACAGTGAAGCTTCATAGGGTCTTTCTGTCTTGGTGCAGGTAGTCCACATCTTCACAGACATGTCTATTTCACCGAGCCTCTCTCCGAGACAGTGCCCAGATCGTTACGCCTTTCGTGCGGGTCGGAACTTACCCGACAAGGAATTTCGCAATATCTCTTAAACACCAACTTGGTTTATCCATCCCCGATTTTCTTCCATTTCTTACCTCCCCATTTCTCCTTCTTAATCCTATTCTTTTCTTCCATAAACTACCAAAAAGAACTCCTAAAACACCCTCCATACTTTCGCCCACTATTTCTCTTCCATTTTCCTCCGCAAATCCGCCACTAAATTATCAACTTGATAAGACCCCCGGTTCACCCCTAACATATTTAGTAAAAATTTATATATAAAAAAACCTGTTTCGATATAGAGTTGGCAACACCAAGGGTACACATCAAAGTTGGGGCAGAATGGTCAACAGCGGTACACCGTTGAATCGTCTGCAGTATATCCAAAATGGAATGCTTATCCAGTAAGTGTATCATATCGCTCAGGCATAGCAAGGCATTGACTCTCACCTGCAGAAACAAGTGATTGTGGTTATTTCTGTTTTCTACAGCAATAAATGGTTTACTGGATTTTTGCAGTCATTCTATTACCCTTCGTTTGGTTGAAAGGGGGGGGGAGGGGGGGGGGGGGTAAAGTGAAGTTGTATGAGAGGGAGGAGAGCGGTGGGAGGGGGGAGCGGAAGGAGCAATACAATACGGAGTATTTTACAATCTACCAAACCCCACACATACCTCCCCTCCCCTCTAATTTGGGGAAAGTTAAAAGAGATTATGATGCATACTTTTTTTGTTTCACTTGTGTTGTTTCAAAATTTTTATACATTATGGAGTATTGTTGTTGTTATACACAATTCATTAATATTTTTGAATAAAAAAATTAAATATAACGAACCAAGCATATACGGAGTATTTATTAACACCCTGTTTTTCCTCCCCTCCCATCTTTTGAACCAAGCAAGAGCTTTATTAAACAAATACGGAGTACTAAAATATTTATGCTGAAACACACAAAAATATGATAAACATACAGCAGCAACAGTTGTTTTGAGTGCCAACCCATGAATACGAGGCACAACTGCTTGTTTTACCAACTGCAAAAAACAAGCAAATTGCAAATTAATTTTAAAATTAGAAACTTGATTATACATGATCTACTTAAGAGAATTAATTTTTTTAAAATGCTTCTTTTGGAAAATTAAGTCATTACAAAGAAAGCAACCAGAGATGACCTGGGACTCAAGTTGCTTAGCAAGGGTCACGGTCTTCTTTAAGGCTTCTTCTTGCAATCGTGGATCGGAGTCATCATAAGCCCGCACAAGCATAGGTAAAACATGTTTTACTAAATGATCTTGACTAGCCTATAAAACACAAAGGCAACCCCCAAACCAAATTGGTACAAAAAAGTTAGTGCATAAATTATTTTCTTTTGGCCTTAATATATTTTCATCCATCAGAAATTAGTGCCATTAATATATTAAAATCATATTTTAAATACTTTTTTAGATAATCAGCGCAATAAGCAGCCTAGCCTATTCAATCATTCCAGCCACAAAAGGTTGAGCTCGTTCTACTAGACTGGATCTATGATCGAAAAAACATAAGTGAATTGTTGAAAGAGAAAAACTAAGACATTAAAGTCTAAAAGTTCATAAACAATGATTACAACATACTCATTAACATCTAACAAAAAAACAGTAGAGCATGTCAGCACAACAACCCAGTAAAATCCCATGAATGGGCTCTGTGGAGCGGGTCACACAGACCTTTACCCTACCTAGAAAAGGTAGAGGGACTGTTGCCATAAGACACCCAGATCAAACACAAACAGAAAAAGACAAGGTTTAACAGAAAGAGAATGTTAACAACAAGGATGTAGAAATTTAAATAGAGCGATGAAAGAGAAGGTAAAAGTGCGTGTGATTGTTTCGTGAACGTGGAAGAACGGATAGAGAGACAAACGAAGAAAACTTTTGTTCCGTTTGGGCCTTTGGGTCATAGTTAGGGAGATAGTGTAGAAGACTGAATAGAGTGAAAATTAAGTAATAAAGATTGGTACATCCATGCATGTGAAAAAAACTGAAAAAATGCCTTATATTGTGTTTCAATCCCTCCAAATACTAATTCATTTATCAAAATCATAATATACATTACTAACTCATATGAACTTCTACCTTTCTCTGAAAAAAACTTATGCCCCATTGTCCCTATCTGTTCATCTGTTGGCAGACTACCAAAATATTTAAGAAGAAAACAACTGGAGTTCACATAATTTCACAAAGCATGTAAAAAGTATTTTTCCCTAAATGCCAAAACTACTCTATCAACTGAAAAGCTAAAGAGAGATGTCAATCATTTTGTGTTTACGAAACAATCCCCAAAAGTCTTTTCCCCTAAATACAAAAACTACCCAACCAATTTGAAGGAAAAAGAAAAGAGGCAGAAACGAGATCATGATGAGGGAAAGAAGTATGCAACAGTGAAAAGAACATGAGAAAGAGAGCAGGTTCATAAATGTAATTCACCAGATGGAAGATATCAACATCCTTGATAACAAAATAAGCATCCACATGTCGCTATCATATAATAAAGATGAAAGTGAGTAATCAAAAGTTTGTCATTAATACCCTTACCTTGTTAATAATAAGGTCTGCACGCTTCACAAGTAGCAATAATGTCTCACCTGAAGCACTAATTAGCACAGGAACAAGAGCTGGCAGGGTTGATACTTCAAAATCATTTCTTTCCTGCAAAATATTTGAAGACCCAAGCGCATCTGATTTAAACAGATTCATCATCATTCAAATGAAACACTTTAATTAAAAATGCATCAAAGAGCATGTTTATTTCATTGAAGTGCCGAAATAGGGAATGGTAGAACGGATTTTAGCTTTCACACGAGAGCAATACAACATCTAGATTTATTGTTGGTAAAAATGCCGTAAAATACAATCCTGATGAAGTATAGCATAAAATTAGAATCAGAAAATGTGCATCAATTACAAACTAAAATCAGTAAAAAAATTACCTAATTATGAGAAATATCATGAGCATTATTAATAAATGTTACACCTCTCATATTAACAAGCACATAGATATTAATGGGTAGAGATGGACAAGACATAAGTACACAGCACGACATGCATATAAGTGGGTGTTTTGTTTCAGCTAACCAAACTTATTTTATTGTTTCATGCAACAGAAATTAGAGGAATCAATTTTTAAGGCGTGGGAGCATTTTCAAGGGTAACATGTAAATTATTATTACCCAAATCAACAAATACATCAATGTCAAATGCTTAACCATAAAAATGGTTACAAGCATTTTCAGATGTGATTCTTTAGGTACTAAAACTGATTCTAGCTTGAAACATTAAGTTCACATGAAAAGGTCCATATTTGTATCAGTATCTTCTTTTTAAGAGGTATAAAATTTGCCAAGGAAAAAGTCCAAACAATCATCAGGATCAAGAAGGTAAATTAGAGGCACATATCACAATAAAACATTTAAGTCAATACTGCCATTACGAACGAGCAATGCACCTGAGATTCTGCAATAGTCAAAACCATAGGTAGAATCATAGGTTGCATCACCAGATTTCTAAGCTCTGCACAAAGTGGAGGAAGAACCTACAAATATGATTTCACAAACATGCGAGTTCATCAGCCCCTTTCATTGAGCAGAATCCATTTATGTGGTCATTGATTAAATAGTGAAACTGCTGGGAAAAAACATTGAATCCATAATATAGTTTATCTTCCATCTTCTCATTACATAAAAGTGGTCTTCTCTATCAAATTCTGCAGCACTTTTTCGAAGGGATAAATATATGTCAATCCCGGTCTACAGCAATCCTTTATAAACAAAACAAAAAAATTTCCTTGAAAATAATACGGAGTAGCTTAAAATACACTAGCATCAAGTGAATGCTGTAAAAAGACAATAAACATAGGCTCCAAAAAACAATTAAGCCAGAAATATTTCTTATATTCATTTATCTTAGATAATATAGCCTTTAAGGCATCTTGCAATCCTAATGGATGTATAATCACTTTTCAACCCCCCCCCCCCCTCCCCCAAAAAAAAGATGTTAAAAATAAGGGGGTTTCATAGGCATTTTCTCAGTAAGTGGGATTAGTGTTTGGACCAAGCAACAATGTTTCTTTTTTGTTAACTGTGGACCTAAGTTTTCACAAGCAAGTAAACGCAATGCCACGGGCTCACACTTTATTTAGAACACATTTCCCCTTGATAAAAAGCTTTGAGGTATTTCATATTTTGTTTTCCTAGGAGACGACTATGGGGCACTGAGGTGACTGTACTATTTGATAATGTCGACAACTGTGACAAGAAACTCTTCCCACAGTTTTGACATGAAAAAAACAAGCATATTAATAAATTAGCTGCACATGATCACATCTTCTAGCGTGACATGTTTGAAATATTACAAAAAACAATTACCTTATAGCGAAGTACATGAGGATCAAACTCTTTCCACATGTCAGATAATGCTTTTAGAAACTCAGACTTCTGCATGTTGTCTCTTTCCTGCGAGTAATGAAAGATTTATTCTTAAAACCTCAAGCTGTGGCCACTTTACGTATATTTAAGAGACACCAAATCTATACTTCAATAAACCAAGTACAGGGGATAAACTTATTGCAATACTAATATAAAGAATAAAATACATATACAATCCGAGCCATATGTAAAACTTAATAGTGTTTTGCCCAACTTTATGATTGAACTGCCACATATGATCTGGTTCAATTTCTAATATTTTATTATAGAGTCAATTCCCAAAGTGGTTCTTTATAATAGGATGTTTTCCCAAATCAGTCCTCAATAACCAATAATAACCTACTTCCACACAAAAATGTCCATCAAATGACTATTAAGTGTAGTGTATTTTGGTACTCCCTCCCTCCAAAAATTGCTTTCCCGGTTTGACTTGACATGGAGATTAAGAAAAGTTAAAAAAGTGTAAAGACTTTCCATGTGTTGCCATTGATGTGATGGAATAAAGTGAATAGTATAAAGAAAAAGTAGGGTATAATGGTGTACTCATTAAAAGTTTTTTGCCAAAATAGGTAACGGAAAAGAAATTTTTGGACATCTCAAAAAGGAAAGTGAGAAAGAAAATAATGGACGGAGGGAGTATTTTTCATCATCTAAACTATAAGTTCTCAAAATAGTCGTTTCTAATTAAATGATTTCTTAAATCACCCCTCTGAAAATATAATTATTATATCATCCCAACTGTCAAAGGGCTATCATTGGAAAAATCTGAATTATAAAGTACCATGTAGGTAATTATTGTTTATTGAGGACGACTATCAAAGAAACATATCTCAATTATGAAGTACCATATAAATAATTATTGATTATTGAGGACCGGTTTGGGAAAACGCCTATTTAGAAAGGACTCTTTATTATATCCCAAACACACACATATGACACATCTAGTTAAACTAAATATCTATCTAATCAGCTAAAAAAGGGACAGACTTATATAATTATTGAATTGGCTTTGTCATAATCAATGATCTTACAAGCATGTGATCTAGGAAGCGAAGAGCACGCAGCCTAGTATCATCTCGAAAAAAAGATGAACCTGCAAAAGAGAAATAGAATAGAGTTTGGTACATGTAGTGAGTCAATAAGGCAACACCTTGTACATAAGTATAGACAAGCAGCAACTAAAATACACACGCACACACATAGAAAATTATGTGTGCGTGCATGTATAAATATTAGAGGTGTGGCACATTATTCTAATTTATGCATTTGTAAACACATTTCGGTTGAAAAAATACCAATGGGGTTCAAACTCCATAGAATCAGAAGAAAGAACATGCATACAAATGAGTTTTAAAAAAACATATATAAAAAGAAAATAATAAGCGCTAGGCACCCTATTTAAAAAGTTCTTCCCTCGTCTTTGAGGTAGAGACTAGAGATAGCTGAAAGCAAATAAAGCGTTAAAGCCAAGGGTGACAGCTCAATCATACACAGTCGACCAGTATATAGTTTGCACATCTTATTATCTAACCGCCTTGCCTGTAAAATCAACAGCGGTTGGTCTGGTAGCCTCATTTGTAGCCAGCATTCTTTGCAAGTCTGGTACTAACTCTTTTGGTATGGAGGAGAAAGCCTCACTGGATAAGTAATTCAAACTATTCATGTACTGCAGAAAAATTATGGAAGAACCAAAATTATCCAAAAAAGGACAGAGTTATAATATAATAAGTGAATGCGAACTTGTTGAAGTAATAGTTCTACACAAAAGTAAGAATATTGAAATGGGATATGACTATCTATATACGGAGTAATATAATTACTCCGTCCGTCCCACAATGTTTGTCTTTGTCACTATTACGACCTCTTGATAACTTTTGTTGTTTGTATATTTCCATTGATTATTTGATAAAATAAAAAATCTCTTGTATTGTAGAACTTTTGATGTACTTTTGAACGGTGTAATTTGTAGTTTTTATTTCTAACCAATTTGTAATTAAAATGATTTTAAAAGTGATAGAATTTTGCATGTTGTTCGGAGAGATAGAAACATTGTGGGACGAAGGGAGTNCCCCCCCCCCCCCGAAAAAACCCTTCCTCAAATGAGTTATGTAGCACCACGCACACTACTCATCATTTTGTGCTTTTTTCTTTCTTTTTTGGTTTGGCGTTTCAGCGGCAGAGGCTGTTATAGGGAAAATTCAACGTAAACCTCTGTTACTGATTTTCTTAAGAAAATTAGTTCACTATCTTTAGACACTAGTTGGAATTTAAGCATTGCCACTGGTGGTGCTTATGAGGATTACAATGGGAGGCTTGTCATGATATAAACACACACAATTGTATAGAAGTGTGTATCTACTATCTAAGAGGCTAAGAAGCAAAGACACCAGCATGGCAACAAGTAGCACAAATACGAAGTACAATGTAAATTGTACATGCCAACATTGCATTTTCTTATAAACTGACAAAATCTGAGTAAGCATGTTGTCAACTTGTAATGCCATAAAATAAAAGATCGATAGTTTCACAATAAGAGAGCAGATTATCAAATATCAATATCCAGACATCAAATAGAGTTTTCATGTATTAGAATAGAAGGGTTGTTTAATCAGCAAAACATAAACCTATAGTGATTTCTATTGCACTTTACTTATCGTTTCAGTGTTGGACATGACAGGTACTTCTCTTGAATGTTCATACCAAACTACCAAAGTCAACATACGTAAAAATCACTCTTCAAGTACAAGAGCTAAACACAAACCATTATGGGAATATAGTAGGTAAATGATGTTGCAAATGAGATATAATAGACTACCATCTTGACATTGTTGTGACAGTCGAGCAAAGGCTTTCGAGCAATCAAATGGTAGGCGAGACACCCAAAACTGAAAATATCAGAGGAGTACCCAGTAGAATGTGCCTTACTTCGAACCAATTCAGGTGCAGTGTAGTTCAATGATGGCTGAAGGGGCATAATAGAATCTTCAACATCATATTCCTAGAGAGTACAACACACATTGCTCGTTCAACACTGGCACCAATAATACTGACAAGAATTGAGACGGCACTTAAAATAATGGTGTTCACTAGATTAAATCTTATACAACAATATACTCTCTCCGTTCCACAAAAACCTTCCCCTTTCGTTTTTTTTTCTTTCCACAAAACACTTCCACTTTCTATTAAAAAACCACTTTTACCCCTACCTTTTCATACCCTACCTATCATATCATACTTTTTCACTAATAACCAAACTATCACATCTTACTTTTTCCCATCACATCAGGGGCAAAATTGGAAAGTCAACCAAAATTACACTTTCCTTATTTTTCCCCAAAGTCAAAATGGGAATGGTTTTGTGGAACGGAGGGAGTACGTACTAGAAAGCTAAAAGATCTCATTAACATAAAAAATCAATGCTTGAAAATCGTAAGACAGTTTTGTGTAAGCATATAACAGGGTGAATTGAGATTTTAGTGTCTAGTTCCATCACCATTTACTCACAGCATAGTGGAAAGCCTGAAAGTTAGATGGATCACTAGATGATTGAGCGGATATTGCAAAGCCAAAACCAGCAAGCTTCCAAGCCCCATTTGCGGTAATGAGGACAGTCTGCAAGATCACAGTTTGCATTTCAAATATTCAATGGTATAATCCATGGAATTCTTGTAATTTTTGGACAACATGCTAATTATGGTTAGGAACATTGCTCATTTCATTTTGTCTTTTCATGTTTCTACTTATATTACTCAGCTCATTTAGTTGTCGGGGATGCTCAGCTCATTTTGTCTTTTCATGTTTCTACTTATATTACTCAGCTCATTTAGTTGTCGGGGATGCTCAGCTCATTGTCTTCAAAGAATGCTCTTTTCTAGATGTTAGATGTACTATTATCAATCCTAATCAGTACTCAGCACAATGTTACTAATCCTAGGATATCATCCTAGGATTCTCAGAAAAATTTGTATACAATGCTACTAACCACAAAGGGCATATAAAGTATAAACAACCAACCAATAAAAAATCATACACAACATGGAAGGGCACCGAATCCCACTGATATTCATAGGCAGGACCTGGAAAACTATATTGTACATCCGGGATTCTGTGTGTATGTACATCCATGATTTTTTGTAGTTTTTAGGTCAACATGCCCATTATGGATATGAACAACGCTCATTTCATTTTCTTTTCATCTTTGTATTTCTGATCTTTTTCTTGTAAATAATGCTATTCTACTTGTCGGGGATGCTCATTTTGTCTTTAAAGAATGCTCATAACCAGATGTTAGATGTACTATGCTCAAGGTACATCTGGATGTATAATATAACTATTCAACACAACATATGTTATTGATCCTATGATTGTCATTTCCGTAGCAGATCATCAGTATATCAACAAAAAAGAAAATACTAATGAAGTGATTCTCAAAATGAGTTCAGCACTAGGCAATATTGGAACCTACAAAGCTATGCCTTTTAGAAAAGTTTTGGATCATGAATGAAGCACATTATATCAGCAAAATAACTGTGTGCCAGAGAACTATAACAGCAGCGGAAAAAAGTATTGCTACCATAAGATCTATATTCCCTCAAGTTGGTTACCAGCGTGTGAGATAAAGCTGGATGATAATTGAGGGTCAATCTTACCATAATCAGCTACACATCTTGGTTTAGTGCAATCAACTATACCATCAATGATATAAGAATGGCTCTAATATCTTCATCATCATTTTAATCGCAACTACATTGAGGTCAGTGGCATGGATTTATTGTCAGTTAGTTTAACTGTCTAAAAACTAGTTGACTCAGTAAATTCTTGCTAAAGACACAGTAGGAATGTTTTACGAGAGATGTCCTTCCTGTTCCTGCCGCAACCTTCTAAAGGAAGAACAATGAGAAGAAATTCCAAAACCATATGATTATAGATAATTTCCATTTTGCATCGAAAATATCAGAAAATGATGACTAAAGAGAGTTGCTATGGTAAGAGAGTGTCAGACCCATTTGAAAACTAATAGAGATAAAAAAGGAATACCTTTATAAAATAACAGCGCGTCTATTGTGTACAATAATCTATGAAGTAATTTTATGCTTAAAACATTTTTTCTGATGGTTGAAACTCTGACAGTCAAATAATTAGCTCTATTTAAATTTACAGCACTAACAACATTATACTCCAACTTAAGGGAGGAAAAGAAACAAATACTAATGGAACCAAACATACCCAATATGCATATTTGTGCAAAAAAAAAAAGTGGGATATGACCTCAGGTGATATGCTCCGATGAACTAGATGGGCATTGTTGTGAAGGAAATCCAAGGTCTCTGCCATCTGAAGTAAGCCATGTTTCACCTCTAGCAATCCCATTTCCTGCATTGAGAATGTCAATAGCAACCTTCTTAAACAAGACATTTTTCTAAATGAGTATTCTGAACTCATACCTGATGTGTCACAGACAGAATATTGTTGATATACTCAACGATAAGAGTACATTGAACTGATTGAAGGGCAAATGATACAAATCAAAACAGTGTTATAAACATCACATTTTAGAAGTGGGGGTGTGGAGCCCTCTTTTAAAAACAAAATAAGCGCAGGTTCTCTCAGCATATGAATCTTCTAATGCTTGGACTGACATTCACAAATTGAATAGAAATCACTTTTTAAATCCATTTTTTTTAGAAAAACTGGAATTTGTCATAGCTAAGAAATCGAACTTGTTTTGAAAAATTAGAAATGCAAATTAATCAATGGCATTGGATGAATGCTGAGATCATTCAAGGGAGAGGAGAAAAAGAGAGAAACTGAGAGGTTGACATTACAATTCCTTTAAGCTCCTTGGACACTTTCTCAATGTTCTCCAAATTCCCAAGCACATTGGCCGCAGAAGCAAATAATGGCTCAGTTGCCATGGCCATGGAATTCTTACTCTCGTCGAGGGCCTGCACCACGTGCACCACTCCAGGGTGCCTCAACCGTACAAGCCGTGCAGCATCCGCTCGAATCATATCAAGGAACGCGTCCTCGCTGGTCTTCGAGAGCCCAGCCCGTTGCCGAGCTTCGGAAAGAGCACGCTTATCGAGAAACCAAACGCAGACATTAGGATATACCGAGTGTCCGTCTCGGGCCTTGGCGGAGTACAGCTTCCAGACGAGGCCAGGTCCGGCAGAGCCGATCTGATCTCCGAGGTCAAAGTCTTGCAAGGCCCGCGGTCCGGTGACCTCCTGCACGGTGGTCTGGACGGTCTTCTCGATCACGGCCGAGGCCTTGGCCAATGCTTGGGTGAAGGTTTTTTTCATGTTGAGGGACATGACTGGGATTACTGAGTCTCGATGTGTGATTCCAGACTTCCAAGTACTTGATCGGATCACTCAAACCGGGAGCGGAGTTCGCGGCGGCGAGGGAGGTGGCCGGTGGCGGAGGAATCCAATGCACGACAGCTAAGATCAGTTGATTCAGATCCCCACCCTCCCTCTTAGTCTCTGGTGAGAAAAGACTATTTTGTCATGAGCAAGGCTACTTCGCTAACACAATCATCACAAATTTGCTATTTAGGATTTAAATTCTCATTTTAAAATTATTTTAGATTATTTTAATTTTTTTATTGAAGTTCACAAATGGTAAGTTTGTGAAGTTTGTGAAATTTGAGTTTGTGAACCAAACATTTCCCTTTTGGCATAGCTTTTTCTAAGGGGAGCAAGTGCCAAACCGATACCGAAATTTCCCGAAAAAACCGTGAATATCGAATCGAAAAATACCAAACCAAAAAAGTACCTAGAAGGAACCGAATCTTACCGAACCGAATGGTCGGTACGGTATTTGGGAACGGTACGAGGTGACGTCCAATACAGAAAATCCCGAACCGAACATGTATACTAAAATATTATAAAAATAATACCCCAGATAATATTTTTATATTCCTTCACTAAATAATAATTTTTTAAAAAAATTGGTTCAAGTTTTTTGTGTACGAACATAAAAGTATTCACAAAGATTCGAAATATTCCTTTGTTTTCGTTCATTTTTTTAGTTTGTGAAATATAAACTGAGTTTTGGTACGCATCTCTTGTATTTAAATATTTTTTTTAATTTTTCATGTTTTTTTATTTAAATTCACTTTTAATTTTCATAAATAAAGGGGTATTGTTAAATTTTAAGGTGTAAAGTAGGTACGTATATTCATCCCGATTTGTACCGAAACCGATACCGAACCATCCTGAACCATACCAAACCGATATTTCAGAATCGGGATTGGTACGGAGTAAAATCTCATACCAAACTGAAATATTTGATATGGTATCGGTACGAGCTAAATACCGTATCATACCTTATCATGCTCACCCCTAGCTTTTTCATTGCAACTAATATGTTTGTTCATCACTTGTTTAATTTCATTCGAGTCTCTCAGTATCAACTGGACAGTTAGATGAGAACACGTAAATTATAAGCTATAATTTCTGGTGGGTTTTAGAACTCGGGCCTAGAGTAGATTAAGGCCCCGTTCCGTTCAACCTTCTTTTCTGTTTTTTTTTCTTATTCTTATTAAAATGCTAGTCAAATCTCTTCGACTCTCCACCCAGTTCACCTGGTCCATTGAAATTCCAACATGATATCAGAGTCAAGTTTGATTCATCCTAGTATTCATCGAATAGCTATAAGAGATTGAGATGCTAGACTCACTCATTCATCCAAGTAATAACTTGACGAGACTAAATACCACTTGAGGAAAGGGGAGTGTTGGGATTCATCCTACTTTGAAAAAATAAAATAAACACTAGTCCCATATGTAGAAAAGTGAGCACTACTATTGGATTAAATTTTTAGTTAGAAAGTAGATTCAAACTTTACATAAAAAATCATCAAATCTCACTCCATATTTTGCTCAATTCACTCAACCCACTAAAATTTAAACAACACCCTAGGTTACTACTCCCTCCGTCCCATAAAACACGAGAGTTTTGCTTTTTAGAAGGGATTTAAGGGGAGTGTATTTTGGTATTGAATTTTCAAAAATGTCCTTTGATGTGATGGGTAAAAGTATGATTTGATGGATAGATTATTAGTAAAAAGGTATGATCTGATAGTTAGGGTATGAAAAAGTAAGGGGTGAAATTGACTTTTTAATAGAAATGAGAAGTGTTTTGTGGGACGGATAAAAAAAGAAAGGACAAAGGTTTTATGAGACGGAGGGAGTATAAATTAATACCGGAGTAGTAAAATTGAAAATTGCCATCAAAATTGGAGCATTTTGAAGAATTAAGCTATTTGTACCCCAAAAAGTATATCTCATTTCGTATCTCAAAGACATGCATCAACATTTTATGTTAGTGTAATGCTAGTGTGATGGTTTACATGACACAAAACATCAATGATTTTTTTTGTTTGAATTAATATTTTGTATCGATGTGAACCTTTAAAGTGTTAGTATATATCTTTAGAATACAACTTATGCTACATTTCTTGATGTACTTCTAATAAGGTTGTTTTTTGAATCATACAATTTTCTAAACTAGAAAATTTTGTAGAAGGCATACAACCTAATTACCAAAAAACATGGGAAAAATAAAAAATTGCATTATTGTAGGCGGTGAGGAGGCTACATGCACGGGATTCCTGTGTATAGGCCACGCATGCACTCCCATCTCCTCCACGTCTCTACTTCCGCCAAGTGTACGTCTCCCCTTCACTACGCCCTTCCATCACTGTATTCTATTCCTCCATAACTAATTTTTTCTTCAAGGTTAGTTAGAATGTCCTATTTGCTCATATTTTTTAATCAAATGAAGAACATTTTATAAAGAAAAATGCTACACCATCTCCTTTTCCACTACCCATTTTTATTTGATTTTTTTTAAATTTCTTGTCAATTTATGTGGACAAGGAGGGGGTGGAGGACATATGGGATACATCTTTGGTGTATTCCTAACATTTTTCTTTATAAAAATAAAATTTTCATGTTTTATCTTAAAAATTACAATTACAATGGTTATATTGTTAACATACAATACCAAAAAATACTATGAAATACCAATATACAATATTTAATTGCCACTTAGAAATAATTCTATTTTTGGGTTACAAATAGAACTCCTATTCTGATAGTCTCAACATAGTTTAAACACCTTTTATCCTTAAATAAACTTCTTGTTTCGAATTACGATTAAATGTTTGACTGAAGTTATTTTCAACTCAATTTATATGTTTTATTTAAAAGTTAAAAAAGTAATTTGACAATTTGAATACTCCCTAATATAAAAGGAATCACAAATGCATGTTATGGGCCTCACAATTTTTAATTTAAAAGAGAATTCTAAGAATATTATGGAACTTAAAATAAAAATTCAGAAAACATTTATTATTAATTATGTCAGTATGTTTGTGTGTATATATATAGTGTACAGGGCTGGTAGATAGATCATATCATTATATTGTTTGCTCTGCGCCTGGCTGCTGGAAGAAGGAAAAAGAAGAAGGGATTGGGTGAAATTAAAATATATTAATTAAATCACATTATTTGCATTAAATATATTTGAGGATGGAGTGGTCTCCCCAACAAGCCATGAAGGCTTACATCAACACTCTTGAATTGGTATGTATTTCCTTTATTATACTCTTTATTAAATGAATGTAGACACAAAGTATGTCTATATTTATTCATTTTCAGTGTATCAGAATTTGGGTCTGTTTGGGAATAGCGTTAGAAATTAGCATTGGCATTTTAAAAAGACTATCTACGACCAGCGTTTAGCGTTAGCATTTCAAAGTAATCTATCCTTTTAAAATTTTATCCAAAACGCTAGCGCTAATCTCTAATACTATTTCCAAACAGACCCTTTATATAATGGTCCGTTAATTTAAAAGAAAATAATTATTACTTTTTCCGTACTAAAAAGAATTCCATAAGGTTAAATTTTGTTCACTTTATTTTCATATTTCAATACTTATTTGGTAAAATGATATTGTTACTTTTTATCTCTATCTTTTTTTTTTCAATTTTTTCCATATTTTCCATGTATACTTAATTATAAATGTTTTGTTTTGGTTCATCAGTCTAAAGCCTTGAAGTACGAAGATTCCAACATGGGACAACCACCACCAAAGGCCATGGAGCCGGAGTGCATGGAGCTGATATCAGCTTTGGCGGCCGGAAACAAGGCGAAGATGATGGTGGAGATAGCCTCCGGCGGCCCAACTCCGTTCACGGTGGCCCTGGCGGTGGCGGCGAAGCAGACGGGAGGCCGCGTCGTGTGCGTCCTCCCGCCCTCCGGCCGCCCCGCCATCCACGATAACCGCCTTAGCGGCGTCGTCGATTTCGTCGCGGCGGGAAACCCTAGCGAGGCGATAATGAGGGGGGTGGATTTCCTGGTCGTCGACAGCGCCGCCGCCCCTGAAAACGGTGGCGGCGGCGGAGGCGGGGAGGTGTGGGAGAAGGTGGAGGTGAGCCCCAAGGGGTGTGTGGTGGTGGCAACCAATGTGAGGGGTGGGGGGAGGGGGAGGAGTGGGGTTGGGGAAATCACAAAGGGGAAGAAAGGGTTTGTTGAGTCTCTCACTTTGCCCATTGGAAATGGTGTGGAGTTGACTAAAATTAGGTCTTCATGGGACACCACCAAGAAGAAGACTACTCGAAGATTGAAGAGGTTTCACGTCACTTATGAAAATTATTAATGCGCTAAACTTGCGTGCAACACAAGTGTTTAGTGTCTATGTGAAGTATGAGTGCACCCATGATAACACTAATATGGCGGTAGAGTTCTTGTGACACTGGAGTACGATGACACTCCGGTGTCACTGTCTTTTTGAGACACTTCCGCTGCTCCGTTCGTAAAATTGACGGTTCCTGTTCTCCCTAACCCACTCTCTAAACCTTCCACCCTACCCCGCCCCTGCACCCACACCCCAATCCCGCTGTAAGTCCCCACACATTGTGTGGCTATTGTGAATTGCATAATAGGCATACATTCTATAATAGGCATACATTCTGTAGGGGGCTTACGGCGGGGTTGAGGTGGAGGTGCAAGGGTGCGAGTAGGGTGGGGTGTTTAGAGAGTCGGTTAGGGGTTGGAATCATCAATTTTATGAATAGAGCACTAGAAGTGCTTCAAAATTACAGTGACACTACTAGTGTCACCAAAAGTGGGTGTCACTAGAACACATCGCTAATATGGTGAGCATTGTTATTGTTGACTAGCTGGTCTTTGGGACCGTTCAAATGTGACCGCCGGGCAGATGGTGTTGTATATCTGTACACATACTCGTTGTTGATAACTCTTGAGTTTTGTTTGCTTCAAAATCATTTGTTATTCAATTTATTACAGTGTAGTATTTACCTACTACGGAGTACTTTCTTTGGTTTAAAAAATCTTTCCTGTTTTAATTTTTTGTCAAACAAAGATATTCTTTGATCATAAATTAAACATAGTTTATATAAAAAGAAATTTACGTAAATATGATTAAAACATAATGACTTTTTGAATATAGGACCATATGTTTTTATTTCCCAATGTAGGATCTTTGGTCATTATTTATTAGTCATTATACAACTAAATGTCTATCATTATTGGACATTATTCTTCCCATTACACATTATTAAGTTCTATTTAGGAAATAAAAAATTTTTAAATCCTCTACATTGAGAAATGACTTATATTTTAATCTTATTTAATGCAAATTTCACTTATGTAGATAAGTAATAAAAATTTGATATTTCAAAATTACGGAGTATATCTTAAGATTAAACCAATTATATTAAATTTATATTATAATTAAATATACTTTCTAATAATTTATGATCAAAGAGTGTCATAACTTGTCTAAAAAAAGTCAAAACAAAAAAGATTTTTAAGACCGAAGGAATATATTTTTATCAGTTTAATGACGTAGGGTGAGTTAATGTCACCATTGAGAATAAAAACTTAAGTGATCATTCTACAAGATCTTAGATCATGTCTTATGGAGCGTCACTTGCACCGTGGTATGGCCGGTCACACCCTGTCACAGAGCGATGCCAGCGACATAGGCAGCGTGACGGTGGCCTAGAAGGCAACCACATGCATTGCCCACCTTGTTTCCGCCGCGGAACGTTCCCAACAGCCATATTTTGCTCCGTTGGCTATTATTAAAAAAATTATTTTCTTTACATAAACTTTTTTGCCAATATTTTCTAGACTAAGACCAAGAATTGTGTAAAAGATACATTGAATTATGATACAAATTTAATATGGTGTATCAATAATTTTATTTTGAAATAAGCTTTTAAAATATCATATTTTTATTGTATAATGTCTATATATAAATAAAAAAAATCAGAGTAGATGGAATGAGTTGAAAATGTAGACCTCATTTTAGAATTATTTGGAGCAATTTAAAAAGAAAATCAAACCGCCATTAGTGATGAGGAATATGACCGTTGCAATAAACGCTCCCCACACACTTTCCTTTTCCGAAATTCAAACCTGCAAATATATACTCACCCATAAACCCGCTTTTCTTCATCTTCTCCACCGCAAATCCCATTCACAGCAGTCTAAACACTTTTTCTGTGTTTTTCCCCTACTGGGTTCGTCGAAACTCTCTGAAATTTCATGTCCAGAATGGCGTTGAAATCAAGCAAGCCGCCCCTCCCCTACAGATCTCCAATTCGTCTCCGGTCCCGCCCCGCTCTTCGGCCCACGACCAACACCGTTCTCACCCCTCCTTCAGGTACTTGTTAATTCCAAGAAAATCCCATTTTAAGATCTGATTTTGTTTCGATTTCGGAGTAAAATTTGTTTTCTTGGTGGGATTTGACAGTTTCTGTGACGAAATCGGAGCGGCAGTGGGGGATCCGACCCGAATACGAAGCGATCTCCGGCGAGCTCCGCGCGCTGGCGATGATGGTGGATCAAGAAATCGGGAAAGGCGGCGACTTTGGCAAGGAGAATCGGGGCGACCCGACGAACCCGAGGAGCCCATTGTTCGAGAGGGGAAAGTTGTACGAAGAGTACTCTGCGAGGAGGAACGAGAGGCTGAGGAAGAAGAAAGGTGGGCCCCCCGGGACGGAGGCAGAGGAGGAGAAGATGAAGAAGGCGAGCTTTGGGCTCGGCGTGAGGGTAGAATCGTCGGCAATGAAGAGGGTTCAGAGCGGGAGGAAGACTGGTCCGGCGACCCCTGTTTCGAGGCGGAGGGAAGCTCCGGCGCCGGAGCAGACGCCGAGGTATATGCTGAGGAGCATGACGGGGAAGGATAAGAACAAGGCTTCTTTGGGTAGTGGCTTTATGAGTGCCGGAGAGAAGAATCAGAACAAGAAGAAGAAGAGTGGAGTTGGAATGTCCAGCTGGAGGAACGTTTGATTTCTTCTTCTTCTTCCATTGGTTCTTTATAAAAAAAAACTGTTAATTCCTTATTATGGAGTCTATGGTAGTTTGAAGATTTCATATTTCTTTCTGTTAATTTTGATCACATAGAAGAAGCTAATATGTCTCATAGCTTTGGATTTTATGCATTATTATGCCTACTGTGAAGAAGCTTTGCATTATTATGCCTACTTTGAAGTTTGAACTGTGAAGGAGGCCTTTTTTAAGGCCTCTCTGTTTTTTTATTTGTTGAATAGTGTTGAATGTGTTCTAATATGTACTATTGTTCTCCATAAAAGAGAATGGGTAACTCAATTGGTTTGAGGAGAGGATGTCAAATCTTAAGGGCTGCAGCGTGGTAGTTCTATTATTTGTAATGACTCTTTATGCGCACCGGACACGGAACGGCTTCTATCATGATTTACCATCACATCCCTGTGTGGAGGCACCCGAGGTAGACGTTCCATCACAGAAGAAAAGATTCTTAATGGTAGTAGATCGGATTATATTCAATTTTCAATATATCCAAACTGACTCAAATTAATTAGGGTTCGAGTTTTATTCAAGACGCGTGATTTTTTTTTTCTGAATTTGGTTTAAAAATAAATTCTTGAAATCCTTTTTTTAAAGGTAAATTCTTGAAATCCTATTATGCACAATTTCTTGAAAAATCTCCAATGTATAATTTCTTAAAAGAAAAAAAGACAAGTTCATCAATGACATCTTTATCAAATTCTTGCAGCCCTGTCAACACTGCGTGGGAATAAGACTTTGGCATACAAACATGTACTCCGTATTAGTTATGTCTTTCAGACTATTTTTTTATTTAAATTTGGTTAAAGATGTTTGACTACGAGAAATTCGTAAGATATCAACTATGTGCCATTTTTATGAAGGGTGAATCCCCTCTCTGAGGGGGCTCCTTCAAATCGGCTGAACAATTATTGAGAAGAGGTAAATTGAACTTTAATCGCAAATTAATGAAAAAAATAGAACTTGAACATGGTAGGCAGAGACTCTATGTTTAACATAGTATCATGTACCATTTTTATAATATAAGAGTAAATGATCTACTTTAAAAAATTCAGAGGGAAAATAGAGCACACTCCATGGCAAATATAGAAATTAATGGTGTATTTTTTTAAGGTTCAAGGGAAAAAGTATGTACTTTAGAAATTAGAGCACACACTTCATTTTTATTTTCCTTTGATTTTTTAATCACTTTTCGCATTTTATTCTTTCTTATTACGAGTATTACCACTTCATTAAATTATTAAAATTTTCTTATTTTGGAGCAAAAAATTAAATCGGAGATCAAATTAGAAAAATTGAGTATGGCCCGAAGCCCAAACCCAACACAGCCATACAAAACACAAAACCCAGTGTCGAATAGCAGAAGCCAAATTGGGGTTCTCTAGTTGCCAAATTAGAACTCCATCGCCGCCAAGTCAGTCCAGAATGAAAGCCCAAATGTGCAGCCTCTTTCTCGTCTAATTAAAACAGAGCAGCCCAAGATTGAATCTCCCGCTCGCAGAACAGAAGGAAAATCAACGGTGTAGCCCAATAAGGATTCAATTCATGCCCCAAACCCTCCGCGCTGCATGAGAAACTCCGCCCGTCGGCGCCGGGCTACCATGGTGAGGCGACCGGCGGAATTTCAGCCGCGGCGTCGGGCCGCTCTAGCAGCATCCAGCCGGTCGCGAAATGTGGCGCTTTTGGACGGGCGGCCTTCCATAGTGACGGTCCGCCGCGCCGAACCAAAATTTATTACGGAAGATTTATCCACTTTTGACTTTTTTCTGTTAGAATAGGTAAACTTTGTCTCCAAATTTAATAAAAATGATATTAGATATAAATACAAAATAGTTTTATCAGATTTATCATATAAAGTATTTTCAAAATACTATTTTATATAATTAATATACAATATACTCCATCCGTTTCACAAAACGGTTCCTCTTTTGACTTTGGGGAAAAATAAGGAAAGTGTAATTTTAGTTGACTTTCCAATTTTTCCCCTGATGTGATGGGTAAAAATAAGATGTGATAGTTTAGTTATTAGTGAAAAAGTATGATGTGATAAGTAGGGTATGAAAAAGTAGGAGTAAAAGTGATTTTTTAATAGAAAAGTGAAGAGTTTTAAGAAAAAACAAAAAAATGAAAGAGGAAGGGTTTTAAGAAACGGAGGTAGTATATTTTACGGAGTATTTGATTATAAGTCAAATGTTAAAAATGGTTGACTGAAAAAATCAAAACTGAAAAAATACTCTGGGACGAAGGTAGTATCATTATTATTTTTCTACCTTTCAACCCAATAAGTTCAATACATCTTCAACTTTAATTCATCTACTCTCATCTCTCTCAATTCACCCTCTTCAATTATTTTTAATTTTTGTAAGAGCAAACACTTAATTTGAGGAACGATGAACGAAAGAAACCGATCAAAATAAAAAGCATGAATTAACAACCTACAATCACCAACTAAAAAGTATCCTAAATCAGCTCTTGTAAAACATGGTAATTTTATAATTTACTTCAATTTTAATTACTGAGTACTTGAAAATATAGAAGAATCGACATATTTTATCCACTACCCAAACTTTAAATGTGTACCAAGACATATCAAAATATGTACTAGAAGATTAAATTAAATATATATTATTTTCAAAATAAATTTCATCTCTTTTCAAAATATTTCTTCACATTTACATTGTAGCTACAAATTATATCGTACAACTAGTTGTACCAGATTTGTAGTATAACCCGAGAATTCACACTGCATCACCGTGGAGGCGCAGAACAAGGAGACCAATCTGGACCAACATAAATAGAAGGAAGAGACGCAATTCATCTGCCTGCGATTCATCACAAAGGGAAGAGCTCCGAAGTTCAGACCAACCAATTGGCGAATGAAAATAATGGTGACGACGTTGTCCCTGAGCAAACTAAACTACTGAGGACAACGACGACGAAGTGAACACTAAGTTCCTTCAAAATAAAGACAACTTTGTTTGCGAATGAATATTACCTTCTTTGTGAATGAACACTATACGTTATCTCAGAATGAACACTATGCTGAGCAGACTTGGAATGAACACTATACTGAGCAGGCTTGGAATGAACATTACGTTGTTTCATAACAAACACTGCGTTGATTCAAAATGAACATTTGGCGGGTGTATCAAGCTCTAAGTACACCCGGATGTATAATATCTGTTCTATATTGGTGCAACACTATTGCACTCTTTAAATCTTGTTTGTTTGTCTCGATTCTTTTAACAAAAAATTGTGGTAGCCGGTAGGGTGTGACTTGTGAGGGATGAAGATCTAGGGGATTGCAATAAATGCAAAGTGGATCCAAATAATCAATAACATGCACCTTTTACATATCCAATCCACAATAATTATTCAAAGACTTAACAAGCGTAATATTGCACCATTTAGAAAAGGAGAAATTGCATGAATGGGAATAAAACCATTAGTACACCTTCGTCCTAATTTAAATTATCTGTTTCGATTTATGATATTTGATAGAAATTGTTTTCGAATCATTTTAGATGAAAACAGTGTAGAATTAGAAAATAAAAATTACTCCCTCCGTCCCACTGTCTTTGTCCACTTACCTTTTGGCACACCATCCAATGCACTTCTTTAATCCATTTTATCTTGTAATTTGTATATTAAAAAATTATAGAAATTATATATTAATAATCTATATGTTAAGACGAATCAAACAAGATCACACATGACTATTTTTAGGCTTACACATTGAGAGAATTTGATGAGTCAAAGTGCTTAGATGAACAGTTCCAAAAGTCAAAAGTGGACAAAGACAGTGGGACGGAGGTAGTACATATTTAAAAACTATATCAAAAAATCTACAAAATTAGTAGTAACATGACTATATTATTTCATGAAATGACTAACGAAAATAGAGAAAGAAAGTGATCACAGTTTGACCATGTGAACAATAAACAGACAATTGAAATAGAGATAGAGGCAATATTGCACCCTATCTACAAAATCACAAATGTTTTAAAACTTAAAACAACTTCAAAACAAACATACCAAATGATACAATATTAATTACGTCTCTTTCTTAGTGTTATGAATAAGGAAATGTTCTTCCGTTAACCTAAGATACACATGTGGAATATTGTAAACCTCATACGTATATTTATGAGCTGACAAATGATTACTCCCTCCGTCCTAAAATTAACTTCACATTTGACTTTTCACGGTCTCCAATGCGTTACTTTGATCATTAATATCTCCATTTTTATATGAATATATATTATCAAAATAATATATTTCAAAACTATGTTTCAAAATGAATCTATTGATACTAAATTTATATAAAAATTCAATATATATTTTCCGTAATATACAGTCAAAGTTTTTAAACTTTGACTGCAAAAGTCAAAATGGGAAATTAATTTTAGGACGGAAGGAGTATTATTTGCAGAAGTTCAATTCTTTTTTGATATCAATATATTAAAATAATGTCTATATAAAATGAGCATGGATCTTAAAAATCACGTAAAAATTTACCATCCATTCACTTATAATAGATGATTTTCTTGATATATTAGAAACTAACTCAATGTAGACATGAATCATCTATTCATATCATATCTACACCAATTATTTTCGATATACCAAGAAAATTAAAACGAACACTTAAAATAGAAGAAATAGAACAATTAATTACCAATGGCTAACTAATTAACAACAACAACAACAACATAGTAATAATAATACCACCCAGCACGTCCCCTACTTCCCAACCGGCCAGCCACCGAAAATGTAACGAACTAATCATCAGACGTCGCGAACGTGGAAGACGTTGGGGGTTTTGACGACGATGTCGTACATGTAGACGGAGTTAAACTTGGCGAAGTCGCGGGGGAGGGAGATGAGGTCGACGGAGGAGCGCTTGTGGAACTGGAGGAGCGTCTCCGGGCTGTCCCCCTCGTGGTACCTCTCCCACCCCAACCCCTTCAGGATCTCCTCCAGCTCCCCGTACGACCTCACCGCCGCCCCCGTGGGCAAATGCACCAGCGCCTTGCTCCTCCCCGCCCCTCCGCCCCCGCCCCCCGCCGCCGCCGCCGGGTTCTCCACCAGCCGGACGACCCCCTTGTTGAACACCCACACCCCTGACATGTTTTATTTTTTTTTGTTTGGAAGCTAAGGTTTTGTTTTGTTATGTGTTTAATTTGTTTGATGATCTATCAAGGGAGGGGCAAAATGGGGATTTTGAATTTTATTTTTTTTCAATGGTTGTGGTGGGTTGGTATGGGAATGGGATTGGATGGGTATGTATTTGTAGGTGTGATGGGTCATATATATGGACTCTAGCTACTGCAGAGAGAAAAAGAAAAGAGAAAAAAAAAAGACAAGGTAAGGAAGGAGATAGATGAAAAGATGGGGGGGATTGGTGGTAGCTGGCATGGCTTTTGTAACTTGCCATTGCTATATCATGATCTAACCCTGTCTCTCATTATTTATGGCATTTGTCTTGAAGCTAAGCTTCTCCTTCTTCTTCTTCCATTTGTTGACTTATAGGATGTACATACACATAAACAATGAATAGTATGAGTGTTTATAGATACCTATCTTTGAGAAGATGTGACATCTATGCATACAAGTCAGTCAACATTGCTTATAAACAGTTTTTAACTTATAAAAACATGTTTCTGTGTGCTTATTAGTTGGCTTATAACTTATAAGCTACTTATAAGTCAGAAAAACTAAGTTTTAAACACTTGACTACTTATTTTTAAGTTAGTTTTTTTCATTTTTCCGTTTTGATCAGATTATTTACAAAATTGTCCCTCACTATTTATGAATATTTATAAATGACTTATTTATAATTCAAGTCATTTTACTTTCATGAGAAAATATCTGACTTATAAGCAACTTATAAGTTAAACAATGCTTATCAGCAATAAGCCAATAAGCACCAGCACAGAGAAACACTCTCTGCATGAGGACAATCATTATGATATTATATATTGCATTGTTTTATTTAAAAATAAAAAAAATCGAAAAATCTTAGGGTTATGTACATTCCCCAAAAAAAGAAAATTTTGCACTAACTAAGGCTAAAATATAAGTCATTTCCCAATGTAGAACTTAAACTTTTTTATTTCCTCAATAGGACTTAATAATGTCTAGTGAGAGGAATAATGTCCAGTGATGGTGGACATTAGCTTGAATAATGACTAAAAGCGCTACGTTGAAAAAAACATATATGATCCTACATTGAAAAAATTATTATGTTTTAGTCTTATTTAGGAAAATTCTTTTTCAATAAATAGTGCCTCTTTCTTGTTGTGATTATTTCATTGCCTATGCATGGTTAAAACAAACGTATGTTTATTTTAAACAAATTTGCTAAGTGGCACAAAATATATACTAACGTTTGTATCTTCAATAACATCTATAACATAGACAAAGTAAGAAATATAAGTTCGAGAATATTTTAAAATTACTTTAAAAAAATATATTCTACAAAACAAGAGATGACATGACAATGGGCGGCTTGGAGGGTGTGCAAGGTGTGCACCCGCATAGGACCCCCAAACTTTTTAATATTCAAATTTTTATAAAAATTCAAATTCAACACTTCTTTTAAGTACTCTTCAAAAAATAAATTAGAGCCCTAGAGGTGAATTTTGCACATGACTGATCTCATTTTTTTATATAATTTTCGGGCCGGCCTTGGACATGACCATATTATTTGATTAAATTAATAATCAAGATAGAAAAATTAATAAATAAAATGTGACTTTAGAAATGATAAACAAATAATTTAATTTGAGACGGACAAAAAATCTATCTTGGGCGGATGAGAAGGATGAATTTTTGGAATAAATAATTTGGGCCATTTTGTTTGCGGTTGTGCCAATCATTCGCGAGAATGTATGGCCAACTGACTATTGTAGGGGTGGACAAAAAAACCGAACTAGCATGGTTCTATACCGGACCGTAATAGTACCGAACCGTTTATGGTGTTTTTAAACGGGATTGATTTTTTTCATCATGAACCAAAACCGAACCGATACCAAATGGGACGGGACCGTGATACAAATATTTAAAACCGATTATCACGGACCGAACCGTCCAACACTATATATGTAGTACGTATCTCAAATAATTATGGAGTATTTGTCTACTTCATTTTACCGTGTATAGAGTACTTCGTATTATATTATTCACTTTTAAACTCTCTCATTATTATTGTTGTTATTATATTTATCATTACTATTGACATTATTTTTTATAGTTACTAGTATTCCGATATTATATGAATTCGAAAAAAAATATTTTTTAACTTTGGACTCATTATCTTTTATTCTTTATGTTTATGATCCGTTTAAATTTGAAGTCAATACTTTTATTTAACATTCTTGTGCATTTTTATTCAAATTTTTACATTAAATTCAATATTCTTTAAGTAATGTACGTTCATTTTTTTTTTGCACGGTTTAAGCATGGGTATGGTATTGTACCGTTCCGTTTCAAAATGGAATGGTACCGAATGGTTTTGGAGTTCATCCCGTACCGAAACCGAACCGTTTAAATAATAGTGGTCTGTGATAGGTTCCGGTAGTATCACGGACCATCACGGGCCGCGCCCACCCTTAGACTATTGTGCTGCTACCCACTCTCTAAATATAATTTGGGCCAAGGCTAATACGAAGTACTCCCTCCGTCCCCCTAAAATGTTCTTATTTTGACTTTTAGTGGTTTTTAAAGAGAGTTGAAAAAAGGTGAAAGATTACCATAATACCCTTAATGAAAATGGGTGGAGTGTATTAAATGATGTGGGTGAGGTGTAATAAATAAAGTAAGTGAGGGTAGTTGTGGTATTTTGATTGTTAAAAAATGAAATGAGAAGATCTATTGTGGACTAAGAAAAAGGACTATTGGAAAGATCTATGAGGGACAGAGTGAGTATTTTATATTCCCTCACGGGATTATTTTTTTAACTTTTTAATTAAGATTATTAATATACCATTTTGATCATTAATATCTCGAATTATATATAAATATATTTTATATGAGAGATAATATTTCAAAACAATATTTTAAAAGACTACCGTTGATATTACACTTATATTGAAACATACTCCCTCCGTGCCGGAGTATTCGTCCAGTTTTAACTTTTGGAACTGTTCATCTAAGCATTTTGACTCATCAAATTCTCTCAATGTGTAAGCCTAAATATAGTCATGTGTGATCTTGTTTAATTTGTCTTAACATATAGATTATTAATATATAATTTCTATAATTTTTTAATATACAAATTACAAGATAAAATAGATTAAAGAAGTGTATTGGATGGTGTGTAAAAATGAAAGTGAAAAAATACTCTGGGACGGATGTAGTAATATTCTGTATATTTTTTCAGCAAATCGAGGTCATAATTTACAAATTTGATCAAGAAAACTCAAATGAGGAGATTAAATCGGGACAGAGAGAGTAATTGCAAATATGAATCCAAATTACATGTGTTAAAAGCCACGAAGTATATTTTTATCCGTCCATCTAGGCGGGCCGAGTCACCCATCAGATTTCTGGACCCAAAGATTGCATTAAAGAACGCGTCAAATAAAACAGAAGTCACATTGATAATAATTTCACAACGGAAAAAGAACGTTATAAAAAATAGTTGTAAGAGTAGCTTCCAATTGACAGCATAGCACATAGCCAAATATGAAATGCAAAAGTAATGTGTTCAAATTTATGATATTAAGAGCATGTGCAATGGCAAGGAAGAGGCATGCCATGCACTGCCACATCAGCTTCTTCCACACATATCATGGCATGGCAAGACCAAAATGCCTTGCTTTGTGATGTATGAGTGTGGCACTCCATCCTTCTTTTTTTTTTTTAAAATAAATTTTTTTAAAATTTTTTATGAAAGTACAAGAAAGTAGAATAATTTTTCAATAAAATAAATAATAAAAATATTTTTTTTATGTTTAAAAAATATAAAAAATGTAAAAAAGTGATAAAAAATAATGACTTACCATTGTAGAACTTGCCACTCCATTCACTTACCACACGCTGACTGGACTATTTTTGATTGGTTAAAATGTTTCATGTCACCGTGTGGCATTCCATTTTTGCCTTGTCATTGTTCATGCTCTAATGTACTTTGTAAATTCAGTAGGCCGAGCCTGCTAGCCTTGACTGGTCAATCTTAAGGCTTTGTTTGGATTTGAAAGGAAAATGAGAGGAAAGAAAATGAAATGAAAGAAAATGAGAGAAAAGAAATTGGAGAGAAAATGAAAAGAAAATATAGAAATCATCCAATATAGCACCATTTACTATTATAAAATACATACATAGCACCCCCATCTCATTTCTTACCTTTTTAGCACCTCCAACGCCATTTCATTTTCTAATATTCCAATTTTAGCCTTTTTCAATTCATTTCTAATTTCTTTCCACATGTAATAAACTAAAAAACACATCCTTTTAGAGATCACTGTCTAGTAACGAACTTCTTGAATGGTTGCATTGTTTTTTTGCATATTTAAATCATATGGTATACAAATTCATCAACACTCTTTTAAAAATTTAGCCATATTATGCAAATTTAACAATCTCAGTGATTCAAATTTACCCACATACTAGCACTGCCAAAGAATGGAAAAAAAATAATTTTTCACCCCCACCGCAGTCAAAATTCCATGCCGTAAAAACTTTTTTACTATTCATCACACGCCCGCAAACATTATACGTTACACTGCACACACAAAAAAACCAACGTACACCGCACTAAAAACGAGAAACAGACTACACTGCCTTCTCAATATTACCCACCAAACAACTACAATAAAAAGCTCTCCACATATCAATGTAAAACACCCCCGACTTTACTAACATAACACATCAAGGCAGTGAGCCACTACAAAAGCCCCCAAATTAACACACCGCAAATTTAAAGCATGTGAAAACCACCCAGACCCCAGAAATAAATGACAGTGTGTACCCAAGCCCCACCCCCAGTTTCCACATTTGTGCACACTCACACCACACACTGAAAACGTTACACACAACGGCCACAACCACATCTGAAGCTTGTCACACCATTATGAACATCTATAACGGCGGGGTTGGATACATTGCTTTCATACCGCATAAGTACAGCGGCCTTCTAAGTAAAAAAAAACCTGTATACCAAAGTAACTCTGCCCATACCAAAGTGTATCCGAATCTGTACCCCAAAACTAACTCTGACACACTGCAAGCTCACACTGCGAGCCAACCCAATATACCCATCCCAACAAATGAAGTGTGCCACTTCATTAAAGAAGCCAGGTACACTGCCCGCACCACAATTACAACCTCCCACACCCTAAACCACAACACAATTCCCACAACATTGCTAGCAATATGCCAGTTCACTTCAGTAGCCAAACACCCAAGGCAGTGTAAAACGCGCCATAAGCACACGGCCATCATCTAAAAAAATCATGAAGAAAACCCAAACCATCAGAAACCCTGCCAAACACCATCTAACGAAAAACACATGATACAAACGTTGCACCAATGCAATATAAAACTACCATCAAGTCACACATAAACTATAACGCAAGCACCCATTCAGAAAAAAATACCAACATCCAAAAACTCCAACGCCATAACTTGTTTGATCTGAACATGAAAAACCACAAGACTCTTT